GGGAGAGGGGAGAAGAGAGAGAGAGAGAGACGAGAGAGAGAGAGAGGGGGAGGGAGAGAGAGAGAGAGATGAGAGAGTGAGCTATTCTGGCAACAGACATATCAATTTAGTATCATTTTTTTTAACCTGCAATCAGACTTGGGATTGCAGTTGAGAATATTTTCTTTGATGATGCAGGATTGTGTTTCCTGTTTGAATCTGTCCTGACAGGGCCGTCCCTATAATGAGCTAGGCAGCATTTCTTTGGGTCACGTGGGGGGAGGGGGACACCAGGCAGAGTGGCATGGCCGCTCTGTTGCACAATGTTTGCAGTGTGCTTGCCGCCCCCTTTTTGGCCAGAGTATCCCAGGTTGCTAAGAGCTGGGCGGGTGATGTGTAATGGCCATACACATAAATGTCACCAGCACACCATGCCATTGCTGAGCCCGATAAAAGGGACCCTGCGCGTCCCCGAAAGCACTTGTTCTGCTGACATGACATTTTAACTAAACGATCACTTCAGATTTCAAATCCACTTGGTGTGCTGGTGACATTTATCTACTAACATTGTCTGGCGACGCCATCGGCAGTCACTAAGCACCCCCCCTCCCCCCTTTTTTGGATTTGGGACCTCTGGTAAAGAGTGCATAGTTATATAGTTACATAGTATTTGAGGTTGAATAAAGACATTAGTCCATCAAGTCCAACCTATTAGGATCTCATTCTAGGAGTACCCGCACCCCTGTATATTGCGGTCCCTTAAAAAATCGTCCAAAAGTGTGACACAGCAATTTTTAGGTTAGGGGCATACTCACCTCGCCGCCCTGCTCTTAGCAATCTGGGATGCTTTGGCTGGTGCCCCCCTCAGTTCCTGGCAACCAGGGATGTCACTGCTTTCCAAGAGCTGGGCAGGTTGTCACAAACCCCCATATACCCCCTCCACCCTCCTTAGCACGGATCATCAGGACCAGCCAACCCCCCAAAAAATAGTGTTGTCATACAGGGGAAGGTCCATCAAATCCTGGTGTTATATTAAGAAACACTGGACTCTCAGCATTCCATACATATATAATGATGTTATTGGTTTCTCTGTTGTCTCCATGAAGGCAGAAAGCTTCACCAACCCTCACCTTCACCACTAAACCATTTAGAAACCTAAATGAATGAAGGTAGAAACTTTCCAGCAACAGATCTTCAAAAACCAGGACTAGAGTTTTAGCTTGCAAGTACAGAATTACGGGGCAATAACTAGATTGATGGTATCAGCCATCATTCTCTTTTCTTTATAGAATAGGGAACCAGCCTCTTATCGCTGTTCCAATAAAACCCTTTACAAGTCAGGAAGAAAGATTACTGTTCCATGATTCCAGCAAGGGTGGACGGATCCTCCTTCTCCAACCTTCCTCATCCACTGTGAGAAATCTATGGCCCCTGTGAGACCATCAAAGGCCACTTTAAGAAAGCTGGCTGCTAGTGATGAGTAGAGTGATTGCGATGAAAATAATAGGAGCTACTTGGGAGGAAATTTGCTAGATATTTTTCTTTATTTAAATAGTTTATTTATGTATTTATTTAATTATTTATGTATTTATTTAATTATTTATGTATTTATTTATTTATTTGATGTATTTAGATTAGTGTAGGTTATGTCGATCTTTTTGTGCATATGATCTATACATTATTTGTGTACTAACTGCACAGCGCTACAAACCTAATAAATAGTGTACCATGAATAAGTGCTAACAATAGTGCAAAAACACAATATATAAGTGTCACATCAATATTATATAGGACTGATATATAAAAATTCATATAAAAATCAAAATAAGCAATCAAAAAGACAGTCCAAAAAGTGAAAAAAAAATGTATATATAGAAAAAAACTTTATTCCAAGCGAGGAAATTCCTTCTTAAATCCAAAAGTGTGTAAAATAAATCCGTGTAGAATGTTCCAATAGAATCGTGCTCTCTCTGTGCCAGAAAGATTCCCCCCGTGGTTATGCACTCACCCCAACTGCAAGTCAAATGGCAGTCAAATAGATATGATTAATACGCAGCTTCCAGCGTCCTCCTTTTTCACATCTCCTATTCTCATATGCGCTCATTTCACATATTCACTCTTAATGGTGAAAAAATTAAGAAGCCTCCATGGTGTAGCGTAACGAACAATTTATTTTAAAAAAACAGTAGACTCACTTGTAAAATTACAGCGGCCGGCCGGCAAATGAGCTTTTAGATTAGCAAAAGATTTATTTTACACACTTTTGGATTTAAGAAGGAATGTCCTCACTTGGAATAAAGTTTTTTTCTATATACCGTATCTAAAAAAATTTCACTTTTTGGACTGTCTTTTTGATTGCTTATTTTTATATGAATTTGTATGATCTCAGTCCTATATAATATTAATGTGACACATATATATTGTGTTTTTGCATTGTTAGCACTTATTTATGGTACACTATTTTTTTTAGGTTTGTAGTGCTGTGCAGTTATTTCCCAATTTTAAAGCTATATAGCCTTTGTATAGCAGCTTCTGACCTATTGGTGCTATTTCATTTTTAATTGTTAATTTTCCATTAGCGCAGAATATTTTTTCTTCTATTTGTGTACTGCTACTGTTATGTTAAAAAACATAAAATAATGAAGCTGAGGGATTTTCTTTTTTTACACAAGAACAGGTCCAGGATGATTTAAAGAAAATTCCATAACCCTCAAGAGCAATTTAAAGCCTATTGTGTCATTAAAAATCACCATCTTCATTTTGCATTCCCAATTGAATCCAATGCATTGGCCAAAATAAACTCTCAATTTCGGTTATCCTTACTGGCCAAAATTCGGCAGATTAGATTGTTTCTTGTCTGAGTCGGCAAAGATTTAGCCTACTGTGTTTTTGTAAATCTGATGTATATCTTTGTAGTAGTTGCCAAATGCCCCCACTGATGGAGACAACTGTAGGAGAACCATGTACAGTACATCTCATTGCAGCTCTTGAACAACCATATCTTTACTCCTGAACTTTTGGCATCTGAGCAAGTATCAGTCAACCTCAGAGGTCAATGGTGGCCTATGAACAGGGTGATTAGTCAAAAGTCTAGAGACACTTTTCCTTGTTGAATATCTGACTATGCATTGGCACTGCTCTCTTCAATCAACAGGGTCCTTTGCGAGTGTTAATGGATCAGAGATGATGCAGTAATATTAGGAAGCTTGGCATTCATTTTGGTTGTTCTCTGTTCTATTTCAGTCTCCTTTGCCTGGGCGAAACTCACGTAGTGAATCACCAATGATGACCTCAGAAGATGGGCAAAAGCTTGACAGGCAACAGGTAAGCCATTTGGCATGAGGACACAATGACATGATAATGGTTGTACATCACATCAAGGTATTTTTGAACATTTACAGAGTTGACCAAAATATTAAATGCTACAGGTCTGATTTCTACGAACACTCAAGTCCATAAACTGTTATACACTACTGTATATAGCCCTACGTTTGTGGACACTTGACCATCACACCTGCTGTATGGACACAAGTATATTGACACCCCTCCAAATGATTGAGTTGGGGTGTTTCCAGTGAAGGCTAATGCTTCAACTGTGCACTTCCAACCTTGTGGAAACAGTATGGTGAAGACCTTTTTCCGTTCCAACCAACTCCATAAAGACATGGTTTGATGAGTTTGGTTCTTAAGGAACTCAAGTTGTCTGCAGAGAACCCTAACCTTAGCCCTACAAAACACCCTACGGATGAACTGGACTGCTTATTGCGAGCCTGGTCTTCTCATCTAACATAAGTATCTGACCCCACATATGCTATATTAGCTGATTGGGTATAAATTCCCTCCAACTAAACAACAGAGTGAAGGCTGTTGGGGTGAGGTGGCTCCATATTATTAGCCATGGTTTTGAAATGCAATGTCCAACTCGTCCTTATGGGTGTGAAGGTTTGTTGTCCACAAACATTTGGGTATATAGGGGAATATTTATAAAACAGCGAATGTGACTTTCACCAAAAATTCACTGGTGGCGAATCGATCTCTGCTAAAAGTCAAATGTACTGCTTTATAAATGCCCCTATAGGGTATAAGGTGAAACCTGAGCAATTCAGCCTGAGAATATGATTCTAAAAATGCATAAAAAGAGGTTACTGTCAGTGGAAACCACGAGAAAAAAAGAGCCAGGAGACCCAAAAATATAGGCAGCTTATTATAATATGGAAATCTCGACTTTCTTTGTAATAGTTACGCTTGGTTCCACCCCTTTCTATTTCTGAGAATCCCTATTACTCTTTTGATGTGATTGGTGGCCTTAGTTTGGGAGAAGAGAGGGAGGTCAGGGTCAAGCTGAAGTGTTATGAAAAAAATTAAAGATCTGCTTCTTATATCTTTAACTCAATTGAGACAGTCTTTGCTGTATATGCTCAGCTTCCATTGCCCAGGTGTGTCATAGGTTTCCTACCAATAGGTATAAACTGTCTTGTGTATAACTAAGGGGCATAGGGCCGTCTCTATAATGAGGCATCCTGAGACAGTTGCCTTAGGCGACATTTCATTGGGTCATGATGGGGGGGCAGGAGGCGTGCCTGCCACCTCCTTTCCAGCCAGAGCATCCCAGGATGCTATGAGCTCTTATCAACCTGGGATACTCTGGCCGGCATCTCACCCAGCTCAGTGATGTCACTGGTTAGCAGGATCATCCCGCCCAGCTCCTGGCACCCAGTGATGTCAGTGAGCTGGGTGGGATGCCGTACACCACAAGCCGTCCCCACCTATACCCCCTGTATCACAAGCACACCCCCATTCCCCCCACCCCCAGACAGTGAGACGTCTAGGGACGCCCCTGCAGGGGCATCATTTCAAATCAGTAAACGTACCTTTTACATTCACCTAAAATGAATGTTTATTGAATGTCACATTCGCCGCTTCCTAGATATGCCCCTAATTCTCATTGCTGGAATAGTAAATACAAGCAATCCTCTTTGCAAAAGCAGAAACACCTTTTGGGTGAATACCATTTTTACAAGAAAGTGATTTCTCTTGTCACCGGGAAACACACGACCTTTGAAATGTCATGTGCTCATACTGTAAGTCATTTCTGCTTTTTCAGCATTCCTACGATTCTCGGGGAGTGTACTGTATTACACCAAAAACTGTGATGAGTGCCCTAGTGACCCCTAACCAGTCACATGGGTAGGTGGGGTGGGGTGGGGGGGCATGCTTAAGATGGTAGTATTAAACACTATGTAAAAAAAAAAGTTAATCTCGCTTTAAATTGAATTACTGTCTTCCATAATTCAATGATTCTGCTTCTACATCCCTAATAAACATTCAGAAATGTCCCCCCATTCTATGTCCCTGTAGCAGCTCTTTTCCTGAACTTCCAGTTGAGGAGCACGCACAGTCCCTATCTAAAACCTTGATGTCAGAACCACATATCCCATGAGCACTTGCACGCTCATTGTACTGTACATGTGCACTGAAGTTTTAAAGGAGAACCATGGGGTCAGGGCTTTTCCCCATAGTTCTCCTAAGGGTCACCCAATGCTCAGTATACCGCGAGCTACAGCTCACGGTATACTGAGACGCCTCATAGTTCTCCTTTAGGCTGGGTTCACACCTAGGCGTATTGAATATGCGCGTTTGTCGCGCGTTTCGTGTCGCACGTTTTTACCGCGATTCGCAGTTAAAAAAACAAGGGCTACTTCACTGTATCCCAATGGAAACACGAGACCAAAACGCCCCAAAGAAGTACATGTACTTCTTTGGGCATAGGCCGTTTTGTAGCGCGTTCAGACTGGCTGAAATACGCCCAGGTGTGAACCATACCCATAGAAAACAATGGGATTCCGGTGTTTGAGCGTTTTGCAGAGCGTTCGAACGCGCTACAAAACGCCCAGGTGTGAACCAGGCCTAAGGCTCACAGACACATTACAATCTGATTGTGCAATCGCCTTTAGGTCTACCAGCAAGTATGTAGTGCAAGGGCCGGCCTGATTGGATGCAAGCTGGTTGGATAGATTAGATAGGAGCTCATATTACATAATTTTGGTAAATCTGAAGTTGATTGTACAAAGGTTATGCAAAGGTTATTTCCAGTTAGACATGTGCTATTCGTTTAGTCCAGAATCAAAATTCAGACGAATTTTCCGCAATTTGGACATTCGGAGACATCCAAATTTCCGAATCCTAATGCATTTGAATGTGTTGGAATCCCATCCGAATTTTGTTCAGAAACTAAACTGAATTGGACATGTGACTTTTCTGGCCAATCAGATGTGTTTTCCGGTTTAATGCATGCGAATGGGTCTGAATACGAATTTTCGTTACGGCAACATGAGAGCCATATACAGTATATACATATATAATACTAAAGCTGAGGCTCCCAGACCCGAATTGCATTCAGGATCCGAATTTCCGAATTGCATTGGGGAGCTCCTGAATGCCTTTCGGGTCTGGAAGCCTCAGCTTTATTGTGGCTCCCAGACCCATATTGCTTTCTAGAGCTCCCGAATGGTATTCGGAAATTCGGACTCCCGAATGCCATTCGGGTCTAGGAGATTCAGCTTTAGTATTATTATCCATATGTGGTTTTCTGTGTCATTCGCAACGACTATTCGTAAACTCATATGAAACTAACGAAAATTCAGATTTCGTCCGAATACGAACCCCGAACCAAATTGAATTTCGGATCCAAATCCTGAAATATCCAAATCGAACCGAATTGTAGCTTACATGGCTATTTCCAATGCTCTGAAGCTCCATCTAGTGACCATAATGTGGTATTACATTTCATTACAGTCAACCTGAATATAAAATATAATAAGAACATTCGGTTTTGCTTCTATTCACACAGAGCGATCACTCACAGAGATTCACAGGGCGAATAACTCTCCCCAAATTGTTTATAAATACACCTCCTAAAGTGGATAGAGGATTCTCACCTGCTGGCCTATTGTATTCTATATTCACCCGCCAGAACCCGAACATTGACTGCGGCTTATTGGCTGTCCAGCCAAGATTTTTGGCCTCGGCTCCTTCGACAAGGTGTTATTTGAAAAATCGACTTTTGGCATATGAAGTGGTGCTGATAGGAAGTGCTATCCCTATAATGAGGCAGCCTGAGGAAATTGCCTCAGACGGCATCTCTTTGGGTCACATGGGGGGCGGAAGGTGTGACTACTGCCCCCTTTCCGGCCAAAGCATCCCAGGTTGCTAAGAGCTCTTGCCAGGTTGCTAGGAGGTGGGCGGGATGCTCTGGCCTGTGTCCTGCCCAACTTCTGGCAACCAGTGATGTCAATGAGCTGGGCAGGACACCAGAACAGGTAACGTGCACCACCAACAACCACCCCACCGGTAAACCATCATCAATTTTCCCCAGTAAACCACCAGCACCCCACCCCTCAACCCCCGGCCTCAGATGGTGATAGCTCTATGGACACCCCTACTGATAGGGCCACACATTGCTCAAATTTTGACCGAGTAAGCAGGACTCAAGGCCAGGTTATGGAAGCCAAAGCCCCAGGATGGCCAGCCTCCGAGGACACACATTGGGGAAGGGTTAGATCTTAGACAGTGGTTGTTAATGTCTGTCCAAACAATATCCTCCCACTGTTTCTTGTCCTGGCGTCACACCATTTCTAACTGGAGGCTTTCAACATTTTCAATTGAAGTCTTGTTGCTTTTTCCTAAGGTCTTCCTGCAAATTCGGTGGAACAGAGAGGAGCGTATGGGAGGTGAGAGCACACCTAATGTTAAACGTTATCTATGAATGTGAATGACACTCGGGACCTTATTTATAAGGAGTTCACCCAACAGACAACTGAGCGAACAACGTGAGCACGGCATTGCATCTTGTCAATGAAGCCAAGGAGCATTGAAATTCCTATGCTCCTCGGCTCCATCTAGCAGCTGTAATGCCTTGCAAATGGTGTCCACCCACTTATATGCTGGGTAACCCGTTATAAACTAAGCCCTTAATGTAAACCCAACCGCTAAACTCTTATGTTAATGTCATTTAATGTGCAGATTGCATTATAATAATCCCTGATGACCCTGCTATGAGGGTTCTTGTTCAGGTGCTTCCTGTTGAAGGGTGACAACAACCTGAACATGTCTCCCAATTGCTCTCCTGCCTTGTCACCCCGTCATATGCTCTCCCTTTGAAGGCCATAAAGTGGCTATGCTGACACACGTTGCAAAGGCATGTCCCAATCATGTCACTATCAGGAAACCCACTCTGAAAGATGCCATCTAGCCATTACTGTAGAACATGTAGACAGAAAGTGGCTGCAGTACATCAGCCATGAGGGTTCTTGTTCAGCTGCTTCCTGTTGAAGGGTGACAAAACCCTGACCCTGTCTCCCAATTGTTCTCCTGCCTTGTCATCCCGTCGAATGCTCTCCCTTTGAAGGATATAAAGTGACTATGCTGACACACATTGCAAAGACATGTTCCAATGGTGTCACTATCAGGAAACCCAGCTTGAAAGATGCCATGTAGCCATCACTGGAGAACATGCAGACAGAAAGTGGCTGCAAAGTGACTGCAGTACATCAGCCATGAGGGTTCTTGTTTAGTTGCTTCCCGTTAAAGGGGGACAACACCCTGACCCTGTTCCCAATTGTTTTCCCTTTGTTGTCACCCTGTCAAATGCTCTCCCTTTGGCCAATTGTTTATGATACGCAGCACTTAGGCTAACCAAATGTCACTCACTTAGCTCTCATTCAGACTTCAGGTGATTTTAAAGTATTTTTTATAAATTTTTTAAACATTTCAGACTTAAGAGGTTTTATTTTTAGCCAGTGAAAAGATAGTTACTAGAAGGAGGAGACGGTTGTTAGTCATTCCCATTGAAGTTGTTGTTTTCTAGGCACTCCCATTGAAGTCTATAGGACCAAAAATGCACAGTTGAATGCACATAGAAAGCTCATGTACTTTTATGAGCCACGAGCAACACTACACTCAGATGTGAATGGCCACCATTCAAAATAATAGAAATGTTCATGCTGGGTGTTGTCACTCTTAGGGAAATGCATGAAAAAAATGCTCAGGTTTGAATGGGAACTTGAGACATATCTAATTGAATCCTGGTTCCTTTCATTACATTATTTACATTGTCTTGACATTGCATTGTCTCTCTTCTTTGTAGCACGAGTGGGGAAATGTAAGCGTGTCAGAGTAAACACACAAGAGGTGAGTGGATTGATTTCTCATGGCCCTATAGAAATCTGATGTGATTACATTCAAGGGAGCACTGGGCTGGTGGGCAAGAGGCATTTGCCCCCCTAGGTCAGTACAAATACGAATATCATAAAAATATAAACTTCTGCACCTCTTTGGTTTTATAAATACAGATATGTTGGGCTAGTGGCCTTCAGTGGAGATTCTCCCCTACTGAGACCCTGGTCAGACCTGTGATCACAGCGCCTGGCAAGGGGAAGTTTTTCAGCATCGGCTTCCTTTGCGGCTCTGAGACATTCTGTGACTGAATGCTGAGAGCTGCAAAGGAAGTTAAAGGAGAACTATGAGGTGAGTGCTTTTCACTCACCTCATAGTTCTAGCCGACCTGTGACAATGAGACTGCCACAGGTTGGCTCAGTAGATCGGGAGTTGAGCGTACACATACCGGCGTTCGCTCACCTCTCGATCCTGTCACGGCTCTCTGCCGTGACAGGGGAGGGGATGGATTCCCTGCTCCGATCCGCCAGCACTTACTGGCGGAACGGACGGGGGCGGGTACAGCTGGCTCTGCCTTTTAGATAGGCAGAGCCAGCTGTCAGTCACGCAGCTGGGCGGATCCCGGCACAATTGTCGGGATCCGCTTCAGCTGCGGCGTCTCAGTATATCGCGAGCAGCTGCTCACTGTATACTGCGGCGTCTCAGTATACCGCGAGCCTAGGGTGACGGGAGGACGCTAGTTTGTGTCGTCCCGTTACCCTAAGGAGAACTATGGGGAAAAGACTTAAACCCATAGTTCTCCTTTAATGCTAAAAAAAGCAAACTGTGCCATTGTACATTGTGCTCATTTGGAAGGGTAGGTAAATGATGAGCACTATGTATGATAACAGCATGGCATTATTTTTAGTATTTTATTTTTTGTGAGTGCATTTCGTTTTGATAGAAAATCGGTCATCATGTTCAACCCATAAAGTACTTCCACATTCACAATTCACCCTTTACAACCGTAAACATTTAGCAGAAGTAAAAAGGTGTTTTCCAATAAGCCAAGTTCTTTAAGACAATACTCACCTTTCACCATAGCTGCCTTTGTGCGAGGCACTTTTAGCTCACGAGAAAGTGTCAATGCCATAGGAGGGCTGGTTGGTTGTGTTTGCCTCCCAGGTCAAAGGTTTCCTCTCCCGGTTTTATTTATTTATTATTGGTATTTATATAGCGCCAACAATTTACGCAGCACTTTACATAGTTGCACATTCACATCAGTCCCTACCCTCAAGAAGCTTACAATCTAAGGTCCCTATCTCTCATGCATACATAGAGGGCCAACTTAGAGAGGAGCCAATTAACCTTCCAGCACGTCTTTGGAGTTATAAAACATCTCCCATCAAACAGCTAAATACACAATGGGAACACATAGATCTGTCTTATATGTACAGGAAGTCTACCTCCAGGATTTTTTAAGGTGTTTATGACTTGTTCCGTCATGCTGCTTTTTTCTGTCTACCAGCCATTAAGAGCTGTGCATACAGATGGTGAAACCTCAGAGGAAAACCGCTGGGAAGATGACATGCGCAGTCCAGAGAAACCGTCCTCCCAAGAGACAGGTGAGACTTTGTAGACACCTGACCATCATGCATATATGAGCTTGTTGGACACGTCATTCTAAAAGCATGGACATCAATAGAGAGTTGCCCCTTCCTATAACAGCCTCTGCCCTTCTAGGAAAGCTTCCCCCAAGATTTTGGTGTGTATCTGTTGGAACTTGTTCCCATTCAGTCTAAGAAGCATTTGTGTGGTTAGGTACAAATGTTGGACAAATGGACCTGGTTTACAATTGGCATTCCTATTCATTCCAGAGGTGTTCAGTAGTGTTGAGGTCAAGGATCCAAGTAGCGTACTTAAGTTCCTCCACACCAAACTGGTCAAACCATGGAGCTGACTTTGTGTGCATGAGACAATCATGTATGGAAATGGGCCTACACCAAACTGTTCCCACAAGGTTGGAAGCTCGCAATTGTCTAAAATGCCTTTGTATGCTGGAGCATTAACTGTACCCTTGATTGAAAACACCTAAGCTCCAAAATTTAGAGATGCAGTAGCATTCTTTTGGCCTTATATTGCAACTCTGCTGCACAAGGTTTAGAGAACCTTCCATTGTGTTTATATTGAAAGAAACACCTAGCGCCTCCACTCACTGCACAAGATTTACCAAGTAGCTGTAATTTTCGATTTTCATACAGTATTTTAAGACAAAAAAAAAAAAAATTGGTCTACAAAGTATTCACCCAGTTGTCAACATTGTGTATGCTACACAGCTACACACTCCCAAAAAACTTCATCTAAATACCTTGGGTGTGTGCAATACGCCATGCTTCCCCACCTCCGCCACAGCTCCCTGGCTGCATTTCCCTGCAATTCATAATTACAGCCGGGGTTTGTTCCCTATCACAAGAGTAGACCTTTTTGCTCCTGTGTATGCTGACACTCATAGAAAAGTGTCTACAGTGTCCATGAGAGTTCAGATGTTGCAAGGTTATTATTGCTTCATTGTAACAACACTGCCTTATTCATAGCAGATCAAAGGGGTGACCATAGATCTGCATATGATGTCAGTTAATGAACCCTTGCAACAACAAAGAAAGGTAAATTCTTAACTGTTTATTAACCCTTTGTTAACTCCTGTTCAACTGATGTGCTGAAACATTGTCTGTGCCCTGCCAGCTGTCCCGCAGGATCTAGGTCACTTGGCGGCAATGCGAAGTGGTAGCAAAGTGTAGAATTCTGGATTGCTCTACAAAAAGCCATTATTGTGAGGTGGAGTTGCCTCCGCCCTACGTGTATAGTCCCTACACTACGAGAATAGTCTAAGCCCAACTTCATCGGGGAGAAAAGGAACAGCGCAGGAGCGCATGTCTAAGTTAAACTACTGACCACCAATGAATGAAGAGGATTTATTTTTATTACCGTTGAACACCAATTAATGAAGGGGATTTAATGTACTTACCATTGACCATCAAATAACAAAGGGTATTTAATGTCAATACCTGTCAGGAAGCAGGGGGTGTTGCCCCTGCTCGGGGACCACGGGCACGGCGCAGGGCACGGGTTTCCCCTCAGCTTCTCAGCTTGGCAGAACTCCTGGTGCCCGGGTTGCAGGTGCGCATGCGCGAGTCGCGCGGTGGGTGCGCATGCGCGGTACGCAGGCTGCGTGCACATCCCCGGGGGCACGCGCGTAGCGCCCCTGCGCCATTAGGCATCAGGTCTGAGCCTTGCTGGGGGAGGTTCCCTGTACACACCTTCCATCTCTCTCGCCTGCCATCGGTTCCCGGGGAGGGAAGCCTCCTGGTTGCCTCGGTGACCGGGGGGTGGTCCTAACTCCCCTGGCTATAAAAAACCTGGCCTGAGCTCTGGCTTATTGCTGAGTTATTCCACCTCATGGTGTGACATACGAAGCTCCCCTCCCATGTGCCTTGTTGTCTGTTTCCCGTACCCTCTACTGACCTCCCGTGTACCGACCTTGGACCGCCTATCGTCTCTGACCCTCTGCTGCCTGTCTCGACCTCGGATTGCCCTCGACTACCTCTTTGGATTGCCCCCTTGTTACCTTGACTTCGGACCCTTCCGGCTGCTTCCTGCCAGTGGGTTTCCTCCGTGCTGCTCGCCCGCGGACGCACCTGATAATACCATTGATCACCAAGTAACAAAGAGAATTTAATACTATTGCCAATGACCACCAATGAGGGGTTGTTGCTGCCACTGACCACCACGGAGAGGGGGAGTGAGTATAACTGCCACTGACTACCAGTGAAAGGGGGTTTAATATTACCACCACTGACACCTGTTGAGGGGGAGTTACTATTACTGCCCCTGACCACTAGTGCAGGACACTTGGTGGCAATCCAGAGTGGCAGCTGACTGCTGAACATAGATTGTTTAAAGAGACAAAATGCACCTTTCAATGAAAAAAATATGACAATTCATGTTCTTCTTGTGTTTGCAGACTGCAGGGTGTCCCCTGGAAGCAGCATTTCAAGTCACAGTGATGAGTCTGACAGCGACGAGACTCCATCTTCCTCCCGAGCAAAGTAATTATTTGTCTTTACTTTGATACAAAAACTACACACACATAACACAAAGATATGTATGCCACAAAACTCCTTCTGGATTCTTCATTTTCACAGTGCATACAGCAATAACTAACAGCACATTGTGGGTTGGTCACAATTGAACTGAACAGTTGACCGATGATGGGTTTCAATTACCTTGTACATTGCATTTTCCACTGCCATATAAGACAGTTCTTGCCTTTGAATTGAGGAACATTGAGGAACATAATTATGAAATAGAGGAACTATGTCTATGTTTGGAGTTCAGTTATTCGGAGGGCAGCAGGAAACATCATAGTTAATGTTTGCCTGAAGAGGCAACTAGCTGTGATCACCTACACAAGTTATCTGTCCAAGTCACATTGATACAGTGTCTCTTTCCGTCTTATACCTCAATTGCTTGTTGCTCATATACTAATGGTGTTCCTTGTTGCAAACAGTAATCGCCTCTGTAGATTCCATCATTTAGATGTAGAGCAAGCAATCCTAAATCCATCACCAGATCATTTCTAATGTCGTTTCCCCAGACCTTTCAATATCAGATGCCCCGGGCGTTCCAAATACATCTGGATTGTAGGGCTGGAAACCATCATTCATGCAGCTAAAAAGAAGAAGGCCAAAAAAATCCCCTTGCATAGTAATCTAAAACCACAAACACATTTATTAAAATTGCACGTACAAGATTAACTCTTACTTCTTTGCATCTCAGTCATCAGCCACAGCAATCCTTCCTGAGTCGGGACTTCTCTCGAGCCTGATGCCTAAAATCTTATTAAAAGGGTTAGTTCACCTTTTCACAAAAGATAAAAAGGTGAACTAACTCACAAAACCCTATTGACCCCACCCCCCTGGATCCCCTCTGTATTAATCTGCAGTGATAGTAATAATCATTCCTGCTTCCCAAGCCAGCCATCATTATGGCACCAGCACTAATTCTAGGGGTTATTATTGCATCCAATAATACCAATGCTGGGTGTTATTATTGTATCCAATTATGTCAGTCCTGTGGGTTATTGCTGAATCCACTAACACCAGTTCTGGGAGGTTATTATTGCACCCACTGACACCAATGCTGGGAGTTTCTATTGTGCTCATTGACACCAGTGCTGAGAGTTATTATTGCATCCACTGACACCAGTGCTAGGATAATTGTGTTCACTGACACCAGTGCTAGGGGTTATTATTGCATCCACCAACACCAATGCTGAGGGTTATTATTGCATCCATTAACACCAGTGCTGGGGTAATTGTGTTCACTGACACCAGTGCTAGGGGTTATTATTGCATCCACCAACACCTGTGTTGGGGGTTATTATTGCATCCACCAACACCAATGCTGAGGGTTATTATTGCGTCCGCCAACACCAATGCTGGAGGTTATTATTGCACCCACTGACACCAATTCTGAGGGTTATTTTTGCGCTCACTGACACCAATGCTGAGGGTTATTATTGCATCCATTAACACCAGTGCTGGGGTAATTGTGTTCACTGACACCAGTGCTAGGGGTTATTATTGCATCCATTAACACCAGTGCTGGGGTAATTGTGTCCACTGACACCAGTGCTAGGTGTTATTATTGCATCCTCTAACACCAGTGCTGGGGGTTATTATTGCATCCACCAACACCAGTGCTGGGGGTTATTATTGCATCCATTAACACAAGTGCTGGAGTAATTGTGTCCACTGACACCAATGCTGGGGGTTATTATTGCCTCAGCCGACACCAGTGCTGGAGGTTAGTATTGCACCCACTGACACCAACTCTGAGGGTTATTATTGCATCCACCAACACCAATGCTGGGGGTCAGTGGCGTAACTAGTGACCTCAGTGCCCCGATACAAGAATCCATGAAGGCCCCCCAAGAAGAAAAAAATGAGGTTTTTGGGTTTTTTTAAACAAATTTTAGACAAGAAAAAAAAAAACACTCTCCTCTTTCGTGTCCCCAGCTCCCCATTATCTCCCTCTTCATGTCCCCAGCTTTCTGCTCCCGGACCCCACACTCTCCTCTTCCATGTCCCCAGCTTCCCCTCATCTCCCCCTTCATGTCCCCAGCTTTCCGCTCCCGGACCCCATGTCACCTTCATAGTCCCAGCTCCCTATATCATCCCCTTCTTGTCCACAGCAGCTCTCTATTCGGCAGCAGTTCTGTGTGATGAGGGGGCGGAGATAACACCACTTCCCACTCATTGGCTGCTGCGCCGGCTGGATCATACTTCACGCTGCGCCCGGAACAAGGTGAGGGAAGCATGTAGGGCCCAGGAAAGGAGGAAGAGGTCCCGGGACTGACATTAGCGGTTACCGGGATAATACATATCCTGGTAATCAGCGGTTACCAGGGGCCCCTTCCTCCTGTCCTAGGCCCCCTCCAAGTGGCGGAACTCCAGGGCCCGGTCGCGGCTCTGCGACCCTGGTAGTTCCGCCACTGCTGCGAGTTATTATTGCGCTCACTGACACCAATGCTGAGGGTTATTATTGCATGCATTAACACCAGTGCTGGGGTAATGGTGTTCACTAACACCAATGCTGGGGGTTATTATTGCCTAAGCCTACACCAGTGCTGTAGGTTATTATTGCACCCACTGACACCAATTCTGAGGGTTAGTATTGCGTACACCAACACCAGTGCTGTAGGTTATTATTGTGCCCACTAACACCAGTGCTGGGGGTTATTACTGGGTCCACTGACACCAATGAAATCCCTGTCTTGGGATCCTGCAATAAAGAGCTTACAGACATAATTCTAACGTTTGTTCTCTTGGTTGTTTAGTGAATTATAAGGCCATGAGAGAAGCATCCTTATTTATGGTAATGGTAATAATGTCATTAAAGTATGACTCCAGGCATTGTCAACCAATTAGGATTTGAGAGAAAATCTCCAACAGGGATCCAGGGGGCAATTAAAAAGCTGACAGGGGTTCTAAATCGTTTTCTACTAAAATTAGTGTTTGTTATTGTTTTCTTCATCCCTCTTGGATGTCTTACTTCACTTCCTGTCCAGAATGGGTGTCACAATGAACAGGTAATGAGGGAAAATCTCTACTATGGGACAGCAATAAAACCTGCCAGAGTGTAGCCCTTCTCTACTCTTTCCAATGCATAAAGAGTATGTAAAAGAAAAATCTATTTTTCATTCATGTTTGGCATCAGGTCTCACTGTAACTCTCAATTGTAATTGGTAACTGCCCGTTGCACCCCCTCTGACAGGGCCAATGAGCAACTGTTAGTCATCATGGAGTAGAACCAAAATTAGGTTGATCACGCCAGTCAACATAGCTAGGCCCTGAGGCTTGGCCCGGGGTTCATGGGTGTAATTATTGTAGGTACAGAGGGTTTCCCTGGATGGGGCACATACTTTCGCCCCTATACTTTCGCCCCTATACAAGGTAAGGGATCCTCAGTCCCCATAAGTACGTCTCTGCGTTACAAAGCATAGAAAGATACTTGCATTTAATTTGTTCAGAGGAAGCATCATGTCCTTACATGTCTACATACTGGAGAACACTGAAAAAGGATGATATTAGTCAGCTAGGTCTTCAAAGGTAGAGTCATGTGAGAAACATTTCAATCAGGTACCAACAGGGAAACTTTATGATGCCTGGTGGCAACCACAAGCTTCAACTCTGTACACTTGAGAAACCATATGTAGATGTTGGAACCCAACGTATCCAAACTAAGAGCCTAAAGGCAATGATTGAAAGCCAGAGGTCAGAAAGGTCTGAATAAAGTTTGCTGATTTTTTTATAGGTACATTTACTGAGATTTATCTGACCTTACCAAAAAATATATATTGCGGAAAAAATGAGTAGACAGTAAACATAACTCAAGAGTACAATCTTATATAGAAAAGAAAGTCTATCTGTAAAAAATAAGTCAAGGCAACTGGACTTGCTGTATTTTTCTTGAAAATCTCCAGTTGCCTTGACTTATTTTTTACAGATATACCATGACCTGGATGAATGAGAACCTTCACAGACATAGAAAAGAAAGGGTTGAAGCGAACGCCAGGCCGACATTTAAATACACTGTTGGAATATGTGTTTACTGTTCTCTCTGGTGTCATATTATACATTCTGTTGATTTTGCACATATCCAGGTCTTGTATTATCATTATATTTTATTACCTAGATTTTACTATTATGTTTTTTATATATTTTTATTTATTTATTTTTTAAATTTATACATTTTTAAAATATATTGTATTATTTGGATATATGGTTATTGATAGGGTTGCCTATCCCACAGATATCTATAGTACTCCTATGGTCTTTGCCACCTTTCCTTTTAGTAACTACATGTGCACAGTCAAGTATTTTTGAGCAGTGTTGCTTCCTGTGAAGGTTCCTGAGGTCAATGTCCATGTCAATTTAATACCGTCATTGTGGTGATCTGGAGGTCTAAGATAAAACCCTGCAATAAGAAGGACCACAAGGACCTCATAATTCTGATATGTCTTCTCTCATGTTCCATTTAGTGCGGAGAATCTGGAAGCGATGCGAGAAAAGATTCAGGAACTGACAGAGAAGTTAAGAAATACGCACACTTGTCACATATGTCTGGTGAGTGAGCAATAATTCCTGAGGAGTATCTGTTGTGTCCACTGTTATAGAAACAGCTCAAGGGCTTTAGTGAATATATATACATACCCATTTATATCAGATGATAATAATTTAACGTTGTCAGCTACAACACCCCTAACCGAACCCAATGGCATGTGTTAGAGTAGACCTTCTGTGTCACAAGTGGTAGGCATGGGCTTCCCCAAGTCATAGAGACTCAAAGCGTCACTAAACTCAGGAAAAAATGCATTCAAAAACCCTAACTATTAACAAAAATCTTTATTTTGTAACTTATTTGTGTAGATCCTCAGCTCATCTCTGAATTGGCTCTGACACTGTCCTACCTTCTGTAGGGAGGCTACTTGTGTTCCCCATGGTCCCTGTGTGTGTTGTAAAGTAGTCACCGCTCCAAGCTCACTCCTTTGATGGACTACAATCTCAATACAAATTAGTAAACTAAACATGAGATTGTAGTCCATCACGGGGGGAGCTTGGAGCGGTGACTACTTTACAACACACACAGGGACCATGTGGAACACAAGTAGCCCCCCTCCAGAAGGAAGGACAATGTCAGCACCAATTCAGAGATGATTGGAGGATCTACAGCCGAGTGATACACAAATAAGGTATTGGTAATAGTTAAGGTACTTGAATGCATTTTTAAGATCTAACTCCTGAGTTTAGTGTCAGTATAATGATAGAAAAAAATGTGCATTCATGATTTTTTTTCATGGCTTTTGAGCCTACAAAGCTATTTCACTCCACGGCATTCATATGTCCTAAATCTTCTGTTTGCTCCCTGGTCACAGCTCACAGGCAACCCAAAGTGAAGTGACTCTGTTCCCAGGCAAGAGACAGGAAATAGGTAGAGGTTAGGGTGGTGGTGGTGGTGGTGTTCAGGCAGAATAGTACAATAGGCACAATAGCTATAAATAGGCTGCCCAAGGTTGAGTCTGACAGTTAACAAAAATCAGAGAATAGGCTGGTGTCATAATCAAAATAGCAGAAAGCATTCACATAACAGGATATGAAAATGCTCAATAACACACTCTGGTAGTAAGAGAGTGACCTTCCCACAGCTTATAGTTGCTGCCTGATGGTGGTTTGGGCATTCTGGAATGTGCTTGTGATGCAGGTCTCTGTTTTCAGCCAGTCTATTAACAGGGAGATTAAATAATTCCACCATTGTGGCCTGCCCATAAGACAAAAATGATATCTTATGGGTCTATACAATCATACCAGCACATACCCGTTTGAGTCCTAATGCTTGCAAACCAAAATAACACCCACTGAAGACCATCCAATAACCCCTCTCCATAAAAGGTTGCACTACTAAATTTGTTCCATCTTTTTGATCAATATACACTTCAAGGTTTTTGGAGGGTTTGCATGAAAGTCACGAGATTTTAGCAAGGTTGATGCCCATACTTGCACAGTGTTGAAGGATGGTTTCATGAATAAATGTCAGAGTCCCAGCATGGGAGTACAATGGAAGAAAATCTGAAGTACCTGCAAGATAAGGCTTTGTGGTCATTATCTCATGACTCTAAACTTGCAAGTTGTACTATACGGCCCACATTTTCCAGACCATAAAACCTACCTGTATGGTCTAAATCCTTGGTTCTCAACTGGTGGGTCGTGACCCAAAAGTGGGTTGCGACCCCGTGTTCAGTGGGTCGCTGTGTGCCTTCCACTTTCCTAGGTGAGAGGCTCCTCAGCCTCCCCCTGGCGCAGCACTGTCCATTCTTACACCGAGCAGCCATTCAAAATATGTTGCCCAGCACCAAGTGTTGACATGAGGTGGGATGGGCTGGGGGTATGGCGGCGAAGGAGCTCCTTCCATACGTGCATTGCTTATAGCTCCCTCGCATGTCCTGTAGAGGTGCCTGGACTGGAGTGATATCACATTCTGGCTCCCAACACCTCTACAGGCGCACATGTGAGCTGCACAAGCAATGCACATATGGATGGAGCTCCATCACAGCACAGCTGCCCACACTGCCATGCGTTCCATTGCAGTGCGACTTGGGTCGCGACTTAATGACCAAGGACAAATGTGGGTCCTGAGGTTACACAGGTTGAGAACCACTGGTCTAAAGTATGTGAATCCCACTCCAAACTTTAGTTCAGGTGTTCCCAGTGAAGTATCGTTAATGCTACAGCATTCAAAGATATTTTAGACAATTGTGTGCTTCCAACCTTGTGGGAACAGTTTGTTGAAGGCCCTTTTCTGTTCCATCATGGCTGTGCCCCTGTGCAGATCTATAAAGACATGGTTTGAGGAGTTTAGCGGGTAGGAACTTAAGTACACTACACAGAGCTCTGACCTCAACTCTACTGAGCACCTTTGGGATGAGTTGGAATCCTGACCGTGTTTGCTGTGAAGGAACTCAAGTGGCCAGCACAGACTCTGACCTCAACCCGACTAAACACTAAAAATGAATTGGAACGCATATTGTGAGCCAGGTCTTCTCATCCAACAACAGTACCTGACCTCACAAATATTCTTTTGGCTGAATGGGCACATATTTTCACAATCACACTCCAAAATCTTGTGAAAAGTCTTCCCAGAGGAGTGGAAGATGTTACAGCTACAAATTATGTGTGGGTGAAGGTGAGGGGGAAGGGGGTGCAAATCCATATTAATGGCCATGGTTTGGGAATGGGAAGTCCAACTATCTCATATAAGTTCATTGATCAGGTGTTCACAAACTTTTGGCCATATAGTGTAGCAGTGCTAGCCACTAAGCAGGTGTGCTGTCCAGATGGTCGGGTAGAAGCAGATGGTCGGGTAGAAGCATCCAAATGACTGCAATCCAAGTCAGTAAGTAACTGGGGCTTGCAGTGGGGTGGGAAAAAGGACAATATCAACCAATACAAAGGCGTATTATTTAGCACTGCTTCCCTTCAGCAGTTTAGTTTCTTTGGTTTGGCTTTCATGAAAGACGGTGCCAGCATACAGTTTGCTGATAAGATTCACCTAGTGTATATTGTGGATATGTAACCTGTGTATATAAGTAAATTAAATAGCCAGAGAGAGGAGTGAATCTACAGTGAGGAGTGGATCTTCATAATGGAAGCAAATATCCATTAGTGGGTATATGATGACCTAATCAGTCTGTTGCTGCTCCTTTACTGTGCAATCAATCAGGATAGGGGTGGGTAGGTGACTGAGCTGTGTTGCCTAACTATAGCAGGTAAATGTCAGGTCACCAGTGCTTTGTGGGAGAGCTGTGTAAATCTCAGGCCTGAATGGACAGAAATACAAATCCTATGTCAAGTGAAACAGCTACCATGTGTGTATTTTGCCTGGAGTTCAGCTTTAAAGTGGTATGTATAAAAAGTTGCCTAACAAAACCTTTTCATAAGAAGGGGAACCACATGGAGCAGGAACATAAAAGTGTTAACATTTCAAAAGTCATGGTGATTGGCAAGTTTGTATTCTTTGACAACAGCATGACATAAACTGGAATTCTTGATTCTTGTGTCTAGGATGCCTACACTGTTCCAGTCGCATCCATTCAGTGCTGGCACATACACTGCGAGGCATGCTGGCTTAGGGCCCTGGTAAGTACTACTCTCTTACTTTATATTGCTCATCAAAGAGGAGACCTGATGACACCCAACCATGAACCTCTACAGCAGGGGTAGCTAAACTTCATCCCCCCAGCTGTGGTGAAACTACAAATCCCATGAGGCATTGCAAGACTCTGGCAGCTACAGAGACGACTTCCAGAGGCAGATGCATGATGGGATTTGTTGCTTCACCACAGCTGGAGGGCCAACGTTTGGCTACTTCTGGTCTACAGCAAAACATCCCTTAGAACATTAAATGATGCCTTGCTACAGGGCTAGGCAGGGCCGAGGGGGCTAGACAGGGAATTCAATACCATAGCTTTGGCGCACATAGGCCACAGACATTCCTTCTTGCCCTACTGGCTGCCAATTGGGGAAACTACAAAGCCTTTGACTTAATTTATTCACAGACCATCATTGTATTCGACAACAGAAATACACTGTATATATAATTTTTGTGTGGTGGCTCAGACCAACTTCAACCTAATATCACGTCCACCATAGCATTTCAGAAATGATCCACCTGCTGGCCATTCTCCACAAACATCTTTGAACCTCTCCTGAAATTTGGCTTTTGTAGGGAGTACAGTGAGATTCAAGGCCACATGGTGGTCCCGCTATATGGAAACACCTGTAGGTTGGTTGTCAATGGGTCAGTAGGTTCTGTGACTCATTATTGTTTATCAACATGGAGAAGGCAGCATAATGAAACCTTTTTGTTTTAAATGTTGAAGTCCTGTGAATGGGGGCCTCGGAACTGTTAGCTCAAATACCAAGCAGTAAGACAGCAAAGATGAAAACTTTGTATGCCAACGAGAGGGTGTTTTTTATATATTATATCTAATTGAGAAGCATTTTTTGTTCCATTACAAATAAGCATCTTTTGGACTTCCCCTTAAAGGTTTGCTGTCACAAATAGGACATTGAAATGGAAGACCAAAAAGTGGTCCACCTACATGGGAATATCTTTAGGTGATTCTCAGTGGATTAGTATCTGATTAATTTAATGGAAAAAAACAGGGCTAGTTCCACTGTGGTAGACCTTGCAAGTGGGCTAATGGCATAAAATGCCCATGGAGACATAAAATGAATGTGATGTGATTTGTCTGTTGGTTAAACGTCATCATTGTGGCCACCAACTGATACAGTTCTTTTTCAAGGACATGTATTGACTTGTTTGTTCACTCCCCTGATTAATCATGTTTGTTTAATGAGAACAATGAAGCCTATATGATATACTAAGGGGGTTATTCACAAAGCTGCCGAAGGCAGCTGAGTGAGTAACCCAGCCGAAGTAAAGTGAACCGAACGCTGTTTGGCTATTCACTTCTGGCTTGTATGGTTGATTTCAGCCGTACATCGGCTAAAATCAGCCATACATCGGCTGCCTTTGGTCAGCCGAACATGCTCTCCATGTTCTGCTGAGCCTAAGTGCAGAAGGAGTTCGACTCAGCCGATCCAACATCTGGATTGGCTGAGCCGAAGCTCCGGCAGCTCACTCGCTGTCATTCGCCCCTATTCACATAGGGGCCAAAAGGCAGTACGTGAATAGCCGAATGCCGCCAAGTGGCATTCGGCTTGGCTATTCTGTTTCGGTACCTCTGAGGTACCAAGCAGAATAGAAAAAGAGTGGAATTAATTTTTAAAAAGTCCAAAAATAATTGTAAAAAATGTAAGAAACTAGGAGGGTTTTGAACAAATTAAAATACTTTAAAGAAAAAAAAAAAAAACACAGGCAAAGATGCCGGCAAAAGAAAAACTATTGGGCAGAGATAGCAATGACTGCTAGCTCAACCCAACTATTTTCTATTGGGTGACACCTGCCAGAGTCTTCTAGCAGGTCAATGAATAACAACTGGGCGGAGCCAGCCATGACATCACCAGTTGTTGTTGTTTAATGACAGATCAGCGTCCCCATGTCATTTGGGGACGCTGATCTGTCATTACAACTGGGCGGAGCAAGCCGTGAGATAACGGTTGACTCGGTCACATGACTCCTACCTTGCTCCTTCACAGACACCACCTATTACAAGAAAGACATTCACAAAGGACATATAGCAATTCTGGACCACTTTTAGATGTGACTTCTATACTGCTATCTAAAGGCTGCCAACATACTGAAACTGCATATCATTCATGACTTTGAAAACATAAAAGTACAGTCAAGAAGGGCTTCTGATGTGAATCGGGGAAACCTGATATGAAGGGGGGACACTGATATATAAGAAGGGCTTCTGATGTGAATCGGGGAACCTGATATGAAGGGGGGACACTGATATGTAAGAAGGGCTTCTGATGTGAATCGGGGGAACCTGATATGAAGGGGGGACGCTGATATGAAAGAAGGGCTTCTGATGTGAATCGGGGGAACCTGAAATAAAGGGGGGACGCTGATATGAAAGAAGGGCTTCTGATGTGAATCGGGGGAACCTGAAATAAAGGGGGGACGCTGATATGAAAGAAGGGCTTCTGATGTGAATCGGGGGAACCTGAAATAAAGGGGGGACGCTGATATGAAAGAAGGGCTTCTGATGTGAATCGGGGGAACCTGATATGAAGGGGGGATGCTGATATAAAAGAAGGGCTTCTGATGTGAATCGGGGGAACCTGATATGAAGGGGGGATGCTGATATAAAAGAAGGGCTTCTGATGCGAATCGGGGGAACCTGATATGAAGGGTGGACTCTGATATGAAAGAGAGGCTTCTGATGTGAAAGGGGGGACTCTGATATGAAAGAGGGGCTTCTGATGTGAAAGGGGGGACTCTGATTTTGAAATCTTACACTGGGGATTCTGAAATTTTACACTGGGGTGCTTCAAGATTTTGCATACATTTCAGGGGTACCGTGACTAAAAAAAAGGTTGAGAAATGCTGCTATAACATAAGTATCTTGATAAATACATAGCACCATGTCCCCCAATGCTGCCCTCCCTTCTATTTTTATCAATAATATGTAAATCTATTAAAATATGTTTTTATTTATATTTCATTGAAGTTGAGTTTCAGCTCAGAACTCTTGTGACTTCTTTCTCTACAGGGAACAAAGAAGCTGTGCCCTCAGTGTAACACCATTACATCTCCGAGTGACCTCCGCCGGGTCTACTTGTGACCGGCAGACCATCCCTCAGCAAAGTATAGCAGGAAAGTTGTACGTGGCCTCCACCAGTGGACTATGACTGAACTGGGCACCAAGAGTGATGTCAGTAGTGTGCCCTATGCTTGCTGTTTCTTACTAGAATATTTGACCACTACCACACTTGTTATGGCAACCAATGGATAGGTTATGATTGTTACTGAAATAGAGAGCACACTTTTGTAAAAATTGTAATATTCCAACAGACTCGGTCACATGACTCCTACCTTGCTCCTTCACAGACACCACCTATTACAAGAAAGACATTCACAAAGGACATATAGCAATTCTGGACCAGTTTTAGATGTGACTTCTATACTGCTATCTAAAGGCTGCCAACATACTGAAACTGCATATCATTCATGACTTTGAAAACATAAAAGTACAGTCATTTTGCTGTAGGAAGAATTTCCAATGTTAGCGTCAATAACCAAAAGTTAGAAAGTACAGGCCAACTTACATTTCTGCTCTAATACTTGTGCGTTTAAAGGGTCGGTCCAGCAGAATCTGATTTTTCAGTGTTTAGTAGATGCTGTAGCGTTAAACCTCCCATTGATTTATAAGGGACTCTATTGGCGAGACCTCTGTGTTGAGTTTTCCAGGTTTGCACACCTGCTGTAGCCATTATGAGGGACTCCCACCACCCCTGTGCTGATTTCCTGGGTCTGCACACCCGCTGTCCCTATTGTGAGGGACTCCCAGCTTCCTTGCACTGAGTTACCAGGTCTGAACACCTGCTTTGCCCATAATAAGGGACTCTCACCATATCTGTACTGAATTCCTGTGTCTGCACACTTGCTGTGCCAATATTGAGGGGCTCCCACCTTCCCTGTGTTGCTTTCTCAGGTCTGCAGACCCGTTGTGCCCATTATGAGGAGCTCCCACCATCCCTGGGTTGAGTTCCCAGTTCTAAACAACTGCTTTGCTCATAATGATGGACTCCCACCATCCCTGTGCTGAAGTCATGGGTCTGCACACCTACTGTGCCTATTATGAGGGTCTCCCAGCATCCTTGCACTGAGTTACGGGATCTGCACACTTGCTTTGCCCATAAGGAGGGACTCCCACCATCCCTGCACTGAGTTCCCAGGTCTGCACACCTACTGTGCCGATATTGAGGGCATCCCACCTTCCCTGGGCTGAGTTCCTGGGTCTGTCCACCATATCTGTGCTGAATTCCTGGATCTGCATACCTGCCAATAATGAGGGCCTCCCACCTTGCCCGCACTGAGTTCCCAGGGTTGGAAACCATGTCTGTGCTGAATTCCTGGGTCTGCACACCTGCTGTGCCCATTATGAGGGACTCCCACCATCTTTTCTGTACTTTTATCTATTTTATATTATGGAGAATGTAACAGGAGTAGCTGGAACACTCATAGGTGGGTGGGAACACCCAACACTGCCAGGTAGACGTTGCCCACCAGTCTCTAAAATATTACTGTTGGGTGAGTTGACCCTTTAACAGCATTTTTGTGCCCTGTTGTGCATTGGGACATGTTTGTTATATGTGTTTTGAGGGAACGTCCTGCTATTTGTGTACAGCCATATGCCTTAAAGTAAATCTAAATCCTACCTTGATGACATTTAGTTTCCCAAGCATATAAAGCATATGAAACAATTACCAATTTTTATAAAATACTGCTTTCACCTTTTGATATCCATTGTCCCATCTCAGTGCTGCTGATCTCCTCCAGCCTCTGGAGATTCTAAGTAATTGGGTTTAGATTTTTAAACATATGCATTACATTTGGCACCATTCAGCATCTTTCATTTCTGCGATGGAGGTACTAGTGCGAAACCACAGTCACACCTCAACCCGCAGTATTTTAATGCACCACACATCAATGCATTGGAGAGAAGTGTAATACATACTAACAAATACAGCACAGAACTCTCCGATGGGTTTAGAACATTGCTGAACTCTGGAAAAAGCAGCTAGCAAAGCAATGAGAAACCTGAAAATGTTTACCTACAGACTGCTGTTGCCTTGGTTACGGCAAATATATATTTTTTGTCAGTTTTAGAAAAGCGTAGCCGGCTTCGGAATGAAATGGAAGGGAATTTTTTTAAGAACGTTTAATTACAAAAAGTGCTTGTGTAGCTGCAATATGTGTGATATTAATTTTGAAGTTTTCCGCTACGGGCCAATGTTATTTGGGTGTCAAAGATTGTTAAAGTGGAAGTTCACCCTACAATAGCTCTGTCAACAAAGAACAGTCACATAACCCAGCCTTTCCCAACCAGGGCGCCATGGCATGCTGGTGTGCCTTCTGGCTTCCTCAGGGGTACCTCAAACTTTTGTGGTAGTGGGACTGTGAAGTGAAGGGGGGAGGAAGGCTGAGAAGAAGGGGGCTTCTGATGTAAAAGGGCAAGCTGTAATGTGGAAGGGGGGCCACTGATATGTAAGAAGGGCTTCTGATGTGAATCGGGGAAACCTGATATGAAGGGGGGACACTGATATGTAAGAAGGGCTTCTGATGTGAATCGGGGAACCTGATATGAAGGGGGGCCACTGATATGTAAGAAGGGCTTCTGATGTGAATCTGGGAAACCTGATATGAAGGGGGGACACTGATATATAGAAGGGCTTCTGATGTGAATCGGGGGAACCTGATATGAAGGGGGGATGCTGATATAAAAGAAGGGCTTCTGATGTGAATCGGGGGAACCTGATATGAAGGGGGGATGCTGATATAAAAGAAGGGCTTCTGATGTGAATCGGGGGAACCTGATATGAAGGGTGGACTCTGATATGAAAGAGAGGCTTCTGATGTGAAAGGGGGGACTCTGATATGAAAGAGGGGCTTCTGATGTGAAAGGGGGGACTCTGATTTTGAAATCTTACACTGGGGATTCTGAAATTTTACACTGGGGTGCTTCAAGATTTTGCATACATTTCAGGGGTACCGTGACTAAAAAAAAGGTTGAGAAATGCTGCTATAACATAAGTATCTTGATAAATACATAGCACCATGTCCGACTCCTGCTGACATTGTGACATTATGGCATTGCCCAGCCCTCCAAAGGGACACAGAGGGAGCAATTCCCAAGCAGGCTTTGCATTTAGAAGACTTAGATAGCATGAAGGGGGCCTGGGGACGCCATGAGTTGAACTGGTAAATGGTCGCAGTTTCCAATGCTGACTGCTGGACAACCAAGTGCGGACAGAAGTCCAACATGGTTGCTATTCACTTATCGAGGTACATTTGCTATATGGCTGTTTATTGTTCATAGAGCAATTGTAGGGGCAGCACAGTGGCGTAGTGGTTAGCGCCTTGCAGCACTGGGGGTCCCTGGTTCGGATCCTGGCCAGGTCACTATCTGCAAAGGAGTTTGCATGTTCTCCCTGTGCTTGCATGGGTTTCCTCCCCACTCCAAAGACATGCTGGTAGGTTAATTGGCTCCTCTCTAAGTTGGCCCTCTGTGTATGCATGTGAGATAGGGACCTTAGATTGTGAGCTCCTTGAGGGCAGGGACTGATGTGAATGTGCAACTATGTAAAGTGCTGTGTAAAATTGTTGGCGCTATATAAATACCTGTGAAAAATAAATAGGGTAAACTTCCACTTCAAACCACAGTTTCAAAGGTAATAGGGGGGAATATCCTAGTGGGGAATATCAGATAATGGAATGGAGAAGAGTGATGTGAATAATGACTATATGACAGCGACCTAACATTCCCAGATTTAAAATAAATGCAGCTAAAAAGGGGAAAATATAAATCTTTCATGGGTAAGTCAGCAGAATTATAATAATTAATGACTGAATATTCATATGCATATGTGCAGCTTTCTTAAAATAGGTTGGGAGGGTAATATCTGGATGACTGCAACTGGGAATGCCTATGGAACAGCGAGTCTAGTCGGGCTGGGAGATTGGGTTATATTGAGTGAGAATGATTCCCCAAATTTGTGTTTTTGTTCCATATTGTGTGTTTTTATTGATTTGTTAATAAAGCTTGTACATTCCTTTCTATTATTTTGTCTATGTCAAATAATATTATTGGTTACAAGCAAGTGGGAGTGCTAAGTGGGGGCTCTGCCTGCTATGAATGTTCAGCGTTGAAAAGCAACCAGCCAATCACAAGAGCAGTTAGGACTGTACAGAATGCCCCCCTGGTTGGCTGTAAAGAAGGGTCATTGGAACATTTGGACAATTTCTGAAAATCTTACAAGCTGCAGAAGTCATTTTTAAAGTGGCCGTGCCTTAAAAAAATATGGAAATACAAGCAGCCTGTTAAAGAACAATAGTCAGGTAAGTCCAATCTTCACTTACAAACAGAGCTTGCCCTGCTGCTGGAAATGTCAGCATTTGACACTTCCCAATGTGGTTCCATCCGCCAGCCACTATGTCAAAATGACATAACAGCCGATGGGTGGAACCACAGAGTGTAGCAGGAAACACAGCATTGGTTAAGCCCGGAACTATCAGATCTTAAACATGGCTAGTTGACATACAGAGGCAGCTCTAGAGTTTGCGAGGCCATAGGCGAAACTTAAACATGAGGCCCCACTCAGGCCCATAATGGCTCTGTAGGGTCTCACAGGGCTCTGTTGGGTCTCACTAGGGCTTTGTGAGGTTTCCCCAGCCTGGTTAAACCCCACAGAGCCCTGGTGAGACCCCACAGAGCCCTGGTTAAACCAAGGCTCCGTAGGGTCTCACCAGGGCTCTTTAAGGTCACACCAAGGCTCTGTAGGGTCTTAGCAGGGCTGCTCTGGCCATGTGTCATCAATGCTGTGTGCGTAGCCTCTCACCAGCACTGTGCGGACCGGGTCTGACCAGGGCAGTGCAGGCCACGTCACGCGGGCGAAAGCGAGCAGGACTGGGTGACGACGACTCGAGCTGCCTCTGACGTTAAACTTCGCCTTCCCAGCCAGGTTGAGATCCTTGTGCGGTTGATGGGAGGGATGACATCTCTCCTCATTGGCTGGTGGTCAAAGCTCCAGAAGACAGCGTGGATGGACGAGGAAACGGATG